GATTGTTCTTGCTGTTCGGGTCTCTGCAGATCCCAGGTGAACCACGGGACCAGCTCTCTGTCTCTGCAAGCAGGGCCGTCGAGGTTTCGATAGGAGTTGTGTTGAATCTGCAGCCGACTCTGGAGAGAGTCACCATCTGTACAGTGTCGGGTCAACCAGGACACAGGATGTGTCCCATTTACTCAGATCTCTGTTTCTCATCAACACTGTTTTGCAGAGCTCAGTGTATAAGTCTTGTATCTTCTTGGTTAAATTTATTTCCAAGTATTTTAATTTCTGATGTTATTGTTAGTGGAATTGCTTTCTTAGTTTCCTTTTGGGATTTTGTAGTTAACATATAAAAATGCCACTGATTTTGCTGCTCTTACATGCTGCCGCGCGGCTGGATTCACTGGGGCTAATTGGGGGGCTGCGTGGCCCTTCAGGGTCTCCTACGTATAACGTCATACCGTCTGGAACAGAGACAAGTTCTGCTTCTTCCTCTCCAGTGTAGACCGTTTTAGTTTCATTTATTCCCTGATTGCTCTGGCTGGAACTTCCCGCTGGACAGAGGTGGCGAAAGAACCCTTCTCTTGTTCCTGACTTAGGTGGGATGTTTGCAGTCTTTTCCTGCTCAGTAGGATGTTGGGGACGGGAGTGCGTGTGCGTGCGCATGTGTGTGCGCGCTTGTGTGCACGTGTGCATGTATGTGTGTGCATGCACGTGTGCGTGTGTGTATGTACGTGCGTGTGCATGCACGTGTGCGTGTGTGTGTGTGTGTGCACGCGTGTGTGTGCATGAGACCAGTGCCCTTTGTCGTGCTGAGGGAGTTCCCTTCGGTTCCTGACTGTGGGTTGGCTTTATGAAAGGTGTTGGATTTTGTCAGAGGCTTTTCCCCATCAGCCGAGAGGGTTGTGTGCATCCCCTTCTCTCCCTTCGCTCCCTCGTCCGGGAGAGGCCCGACCCACAACAAGCGGCTGGGGCTCCCCGTGGGGTTTCAGCCAGTCTCCTCCCTGAGAGCAGGTGTTGTTTGGGCCTCTGAGGGTGGGGTGCCCCTGAGGAAATCAGGCAGAGCTGTGGGGTTCCCAAAGTCTGCCTGGGCACAGAGGCCCCGACATCTGACCGGGCGCCAGGATGGGCAGCAGGCCTCGGGCTGGGGAGCCTCGCAGGTCCACGGTGGCTGGTCTGTTCATTTGTTCAGCGCTGTCCGGGGTCAGGTCGAGTCGTGGTTCTCAAGTCTGCCTGAGCATCAGATGCTCCGGAGGGCTTGCCCCACACAGACGCTGGCCCCTCTCCCGGAGTCTCTGACTCAGGAGGTCTGGGTGGGGCCTGAGAATGTGCATTTCTAACGCGTCCTCGGGGTCCTCTTGCTGCCGGTCCAGGAACCACACTTGGCGAGCAGAGCGCTAGAGCAGAGCCTGCCGCACAGACTCACCTGGAGGCTTCAGGTGGCGCCTGTCGGGGAGGGCGGGACACAGAGGGGGCAGGGGAAGGGGGGCCCACACGGTTTGCGAGATGCGGCCTCAGCCCGACCCGGGGACGGATCTCCTGGTCTCCTGGGGTGGGCGGGGGTGGCCTCCTCAGCAGAGGGTGCGGCCGGGTCGGGGGAGGTGGGCAGCGTGCACAGCAAGCACCCACTGTGTGCAGGCCTCATGCTCAGTGTGGCCTGTGCAGCGGGAGCCAGGTGTGCCTGCCCTGCTGGGCTGGTGTCCTCCTGGGGAGGAGACGAGAGGGGGTGTTGTCAGACAGAAATGCCGTGTACACCTGGAAGCAGAGGCGCTGAGGGCCGGTGGGGTGCAGGGCTGGGCGGTGAGCACAGGCCTCTGCAGCGCCCGGCCCAGCTGCAGGGGAGGCAGGAGGGCGGAGCACAGGCAAGGGGAGGCCAGGCCCCAGCTCACACTGCAGGGGCTGAGCCCGGAGCTGCACCCTGTGACCCTGAGGAAAACAGTAACCTGTCCCTCTCTCGCCCCTGAGTGGCCCGTCCCTCGGTGCCCCGCCTGGGGCCAGGCTGGCCGATCAGGGCGGGTCCTGCTGCACCTGCTGATAAAGTGCCAGTGCCCGGCCCGGAGCGTCTGCTCCACCCCCTGTGCCGCTGGTGGTTTTCTGGAGCAGCAGCACCAACGTCTCTGCGGCAGTGGCAATGTTCTGGAAGGCCCTGTCCAGTCCAGCGGTCACACCACATGTGCCATGAAGCACTTACAATATGGGTAGTGTGACTGAGGAACAAGATTTTAGTTTAAAAATTTTTTTAAATGTTTTAATTAAAATTATGTGCAAGTAGCCGTGTGTGCCTGGCAGCTACTGGACAGGACGGTACAGTCGGGGGCCGGAGTGAGCGGCCCTCAGCCCTGCAGACGGCACTGGCTGAGGGGGAGGCTGGCGAGGGAGCCCTACTTTTCATGGAGGAACCTCAACCGCAGCACCTTCTCCTGGGGGCTCGTCCCCTCAGCCGAGTCCCATGGCTGGGACCTGAGGCTTGGCCCCTGCACAGTTCGGTCTCTGTCCATGGGGTTCCCGGGGTCGTTCCTTTGACAGCAGCTTGGTGAAGGTCAGTGCGTTGCGCAGGTCGAAAGGCAGGCGGAGATCTGTGGGCAGAAGTTTGAAACTGGGGTGAAGCGAAGTCGGGTTCCGGGGCAGAACGCCCCAGGGCTTCACCGTGCCATGTGGGCTGTGCATTTCCGGGAGCAGATGAACCAGCAGGGCCTGCCAACCCCCTGGATGGGGGCCCTTTCTTGCCGGAGCACCGCTGCGCTGGACGGTCCTGTGGACTCTCAGAGAAATGCTGTTCTTGGGACGGTGCCCCTGGGACCCTCGGGAGGCTGGTGGCTCTGTTTTCTCTGGGCCCCTGTCCGCCACTGGCTGAGGGAGGGGCCATCTCTCGTTCCTCCACAGAGAAGCATGGTTCCCGCCTTCCCTGTGCCAGGCCTGTGCAGGGCAATGGGCCGAGCTGATGAGCAGGCGGAGCTGGCCACCTGCCCCGGTCTGTCCCCACCACACACGCACACGCACACGCTGTCAGCCAGGGGCCGTCCACCAGCTCGCTGCCAGCCGGAATCCCCCGTTTGGGGTGCGGTAAACAAAGAAACGAGATTCGGTGCAGACACCCCAGTTGCGATCCAGTGAGGCTGGGAGGGGCCCTGGGTGAGGGGCCGGAGGTGAGGCCTCAGCCTAGACAGCTGGGCTCTGCTCTGGTCGTCTGCTCCAGCCAGGCCTGGACAGCCTCGGCCGGTGGGAGGGCTCCAGGGAGCTGATTTCACAGGACAAGCCCTGCCCTGGGGGGTCCATGCTCATGAAATGAGGACTCCAAGTCCTCACAGTTCGATGGGTTCAAAGGCACCGTCCTGATGGGTCCGGATGCAGCTGCTCTGATTGGCTGGAGAGAATGGTGGGGATCTAGATGTGCAGATGCAGCGGGACGAGGAAAGCCTGCTGGTTAGAACGCGATCCCAGGAGCCTGTTCTGTGGGCGAGGAACCCGGTGCCGGCAGCAGGTCAGCGCCGGAGGCGGGAGAGGCCGAGGAAGGCCGGACAGGCACCCCTTCTACCAGACGACTAACCCAGTCCGGCGGGCCCCGCTTGAGTCCCCCCACTTGAATGGGGAGCAGAGCTGGCTGCCCAGCCCCAGCCGTCCTCAGCCTCGCCAGCCTGGAAGGGGTGACCACACCGGTGGTCGGGCAGTGCAGGCGACCGGGCACAAAGCCTCCCTTGGCCGATGGCCTGAGCTCCAGGGGCCGCTTTGGGGGCTGACCTGGGTCCTGTCCTGCCCTCCTGTCCCAGCCTCTCCTGGTGCCCCCACTGCCACCCCTCCCTGGCTCTCCCCAGGCACACGCTGCCTGTGGTCCCCCCGACCTGATCTCACTACCAGCTCGCTCTCCCGGGCGCCTGGCAGCCTCAGCGCCGCCTCGGCTCGCTCCTTCCTGACACCGCTGTGCCGGCTCAGAGCGCCTCCGTGCCCCACCGCCCAGTCCCCACCCCTGTCCCAGCACAGCCTTCTCTGCCCCAGGGCTCCAGCCTGGGCTGCACCCTTGAGGGTCGGGGTCCTGGACCCCTCCACCTGACCCCCCACCTGCTTGCTGACCGCCCTGACCCTCGTCATCTCGCCTCTTCCTGGGCTCTGCAGTCCCCATGGTCCCCGCTGCAGCCACGGGGCGTGGGCAGCACGTCCGCGCCCCACCGCTCTGCCTGAGCACCTCTGTGGGCAGACCCCCGGGGTCCCGGCTGCACCCAGCTTCCGCCAGCAGTGATCTCCACCTTGGCCCCGCGGCTGGAGACCCTTGCCCACCTCCAGTCTGCTTCCACGCCCCGCAGAAGGCCTGTCTGCCCCGCCGGGCGGGGCGTGTCCCCATCGCCAGCGCTGCCCCTGGTGCTTCTGAGGCCGAAGCGTCCTGACCCGGCGGGGTCGGCCCCACCCAGCCTGCGCCGAGCGGGCACGGAGTGAGCGCGGGCCAAGTACCCGGACCCCGCGGTCTGCCCGGGTTTGGCGGGAGCAGGCGCAGGGCCCAGGCCCTCAGCCGGGCAGGACAGGGCGGGGTCTGGGTGCGCGCACGTGTGCGGAACTGATGTCCTGGTCTTGGCACAGACGCCTTTACGGCCCAGTCCTGCCTCAGTGGAGAAGAGGCGAGAGGCCCCGGTTCCTGGCGGACACAGAGGCCACATGGTGCTGGAAGCAGGATGCCCGGGTCTCCAGTCCCGGCTCTGCCCGCGACCCTCTGTGCTCGGGCCTCGGTGCCCCTCTGTTCGGTGGGAGGACCGGCCAGTTCTGGGGACACCGGAGTTCTCAGCTCTTGTTGTGGGCACAAGGGGGCAGCCTCGGGCTTCGGAGCCTGAGGACGAGGCTGGCCGAGGCTGAGAGGTCTCCGCGGTCACGGAGCCGAGCTGGCGGGCCAGGCGGGGGTCCCTGCTGCTCACCGAGTGAGGGCAGTGGGCCAGAGTCCCCCGGGCACCTGAACCTGGCGATGGGGGGAAGCTGACTCCCCAGGTGTGTGCTCTGGGCAAGGCAGCGGCCTGCGCCTCTCTCCACAGTGGTCCTTTGCTGTCGCCACCATCACCGAGATCCCCCCGCTCATCCTTCTGCCCAACTTCCTGGTGCAGAGGAAGGTGCTGAAGCCCCTTCGGACCCAGACCGGAGGGACCGTGATGGTAGGTGGGGCGCTGGGCCCCGGACCCCTGGCTCCTCCCACCCCGGGGCCCTGCCCACCGGGCTCCATCTGGACCGCCCTCCTCCCACGCAGGGGTTGAACAAAACCCTACACTGCGCCGGCCCGGCAACAATGACCCTTTCGCCCAGCCCCGCCCAGCCCGGCCTCAGGACCCCCGTTCCTTACAGTAGCTGGTAGTGAGACTGCCCGCCCCAGGGAAGTAGCTAAACGCGCCCGGCAGTCCAGCGGAAGTGGAAACCAGGCCCCGGGACGTCGGTGGGAGGTGCTGCCCCCTCCATCAGGGGCGCCCGGGAAGGTTTCCCGTCCCACGTGCAGCTTCCTTTAAATTCAGTCGAGGGAGGTAGAGAGACGTTTCAGGTTGGGTATATAACTTCTAACGCAGAGCAGGCAAAGTCCTATGGACCCTACGGTTTTCTTTTTAGCTTGAAAATCTTATCTGTCTTAGCTCATTAGACTCTCACTCGCCCGCCCCCGGAACTGTGATTCTGTGGGTTTCAGTATCCGTTGTGCTGCAGACTCGTCTATTCCCTCAAAAGCACATCGGAGTCCTTGTCAGCTCTGCGATCATAGCACCTGCCTGTCATTGAGTGTCCTGTCTGCCAGCCAGCCTGGTGCGCCTGGGCCTGGCCTGGCCTGGGGTGGGAGCCTCCTGGACAGCCCCGCTCAGAGCTCACGCCCCCGCTGGCGGCACCGTGTCTGTGGGCTGGATGCGAGTCGGGAGTGGGGGGACAAGGCTGCCCTTCACCCTGTGCTTGTCTCCCAGGCGGGGAAGCTGGCTGTGGAGCGAGGCTGGGCCATCAACGTGGGTGAGTGACCCCGGGGAGCTGGCCTCCAGGGCGGGGCTGGGGCCGAGCCCACCTCCATCGGGCAGAATCCTGTCCAAGGTTCTTCAGGTGCCCCCCAGCCCTGACTTTGCACACTCGCAGTGCTGGGGAGCTCACTCTGTCCCGGGAGCCTGTGCTCCCCTCCGGACAGCCTGCAGGGGCTGAGACCGACACCATTCTGGGGCCCTGGGCAGCCTGCAGGGGCTGGGTCCTGTATGGTTGGGGACAGGCCCCGGACCGATACCGCTTCATTCTCAGGGGCCTTGGGGCAGTATCTGCAGACCCCTGGGCTCTCCCACAAGATGGGCCCAAGGAGGGCTGCACCGTGGTCCTCCTGGTCCCAGCAGGGCCCCATGGAGGCTCAGTGTGTGAGGCCCTGTCTGTCCAGCCTCCCGTCTGAGCGGGGTGCTACAGTGCAGGCCAATGCATTGGTGAGAATGTGGACATCCAGAGGGCGAGCGGCCTGCTCAGAGCCCCGTGGCCGCCTCCCCACCCCCACCTGGGGCCTGAGCAAGGCCGAGCACTGGGCCTCTCCTTCCTGTCTGGGTCAGCCAGGTGCCCAGCACACGGTCTGGCTTAGCCTTGATGTCATGATACTGTGCTGGGCACATCACGAGCGACACAGGCTCCCGGAGGGGTCGGGAGGCCTTCCCCGTGGAGGGTGTGATGCCCGGCAGTGGTGGAGGCCCGGATCCCGACCTAGCCTTGGTTTGAAGCTGGGTTCCGCCATTAGCTGGCTGTGTGACCAGGGCACGTTGCTGACCCTCTCTGTGCCTCAGGCTCTTAACCTGCCCAACTGAGATGGTAGTAACGTGCCCTCCAGGGCTGCGTCTCATCACCGTGGTCCGACGACAGCCTCTGAGTGTGGAGGGCAGGCCCTGTGCCTGTGGCCCCTTCGCTGTGCCGGCAGGGCGGTCACGGTGCTCAGATGCCTGCAGCTCTGGTTCTGCAGCGCAGGGGTCAGGCTCCATGGGCCTGAGGCTCAGGCTGTGGTCTCAGGGCGGAGGGGCTGGAGAGGCTGGGCCCTGGTCAGCCATGACCAGCAGAGGGCGCCCTACCCATTGTCCCCTCCCACCGCTGGGTGGCTCTGGGTGCTCCCCAAGAAAACCCGCCCCCAGACCCACCCCGCTTCTGGCAGGAGGACTCCGGGCAGCAGGCCCAGCTCTGTGGAGACTCCTGCTTTGGGAAGGCCGAGCCCCCGGGGTGTGAGTGGGCCCAGGGGCTGACCTGTGGGGACCCCGAAGAGGCTTCTTTCTCTGGCGGGGTGGCTGCGATGGCAGAGACCTGGGACGGTGGCAGGTCCAGGCTCTCAGTCCACGTCGCCGCCTGGGGTCCCAGGGCCCGCCCGGAGCTGAGCGGAGAGGGCTGAGGGGGGCCCGGCCCTGCCCGCCCGGCCCTGACACCCGGCCCTCCCGCAGGTGGCGGCTTCCATCACTGCTCCAGCGACCGGGGCGGGGGCTTCTGCGCCTACGCGGACATCACGCTGGCCATCAAGGTGCACAGGAGAGCGTGGGGGGCTGACCTGGGCCTCCCTGGAACCCCTGCTGCCCCAGCCTGGTTCTCCCAGCGTAGAAGTGAGGCTCGGAGGGGAGGGCCCCATCGCTCAGCCAGGCCGGGCTGTCCCAGGCTGACCCTCTGTGTCGGTGCCCCGGCGCTCGCGTAGCCTCCGGCGGTGGCCGGGCGGGGCGCATGCGCACCGGGTGTGCGGTGGGGGAGAAACAGCCGTGATCGCAGTGGGGATGCACGGACCACAGGCTCCGGCCGTGCCAGCGTGGTTCTCCGTGAAACTGAGGCCCAGAGAGGGAGGGCGCACAGCCAGGGGGCAGAGCTGGGGCGGGGCGTCCAGGACAGCCCATCCTGGTCCCCATTCTCACAGGGCACAGACGGCAGGGCAGCTGACCCTGGCCATTCACAGAGGGAGACGGGAGACCCAGAGGCACGATGGCCTCCTGCCCTGCCCCTCACCCACCGGGAGGCCCTGGGGCTGGTCTTCTGGACCACGCGGGTCCTCACCCTCCCCTCTCCTCCCCGGGCAGTTTCTGTTTGAGCGCGTGGAGGGCATCTCCAGGGCCACCATCGTTGATCTCGATGCCCATCAGGTGAGTGCCCCTCCTCAGCCCCCCTTGGTGTGCTCCCCATCCTACACTGTGGGATCCCCCACCCTGGGAACACCCCTGAGCCCCAAAGCAGACCTCTGCCACCTGCATCTGACCTGCTCTCAGCTGCTGCCCCACCTGTTTCTAGAGAGACTGGGAGCAGAGGGTCCTCCCTTCTCCCGCTGCCCTCCCAGCTCAGCCAGGGTGCTGGTCCTCTTCAAGGCCGGTCCCTTCTCCCTGGGTGTCCCGACACGCCCTGTCCCCTCCCCTGGGGCTGTCCCGACACGCCCTGTCCCCTCTCCCGGGGCTGTCCCGACACGCCCTGTCCCCTCTGGGGGGGGGGCTGTCCCAACACGCCCTGTCCCCTCCCCCGGGAGGGGGCGTCCCGACACGCCCTGTCCCCTCTCCTGATAGCCATCCGGCCTCGGTGGCTCCCCTCTTCCTTCCCCCGGGCCAGCAGCGCCGTGGCCCCAAGCCTCAGGAACAGGCTCACGCACCCACTCAGGCCTGCTCAGCCCCAGGCCAGTGCTCAGGAGCTCACTGCCGAGGGGCCGGGCAAGGGGCAGGAGACCCGGGTCTAGCTCCTCGGGTCCGAGTCAGGGCACGGCATCCCACGGCTCCCGAAGGCCCCCACACCCCTGCTGCGGCCCTGCCGCAGTCTCCTGAGCACAGGACACAGCCGCCTGGAGGGGGTGGGCCAGGGTTCCTGCCTGTTCCCCGGAGAAGACACATCCGGGCTTCGCAGCGTCACACTGGCAGGTCGCAGGCCAGTCTGAGGTCGCGCCCAGCTTTGTCACTTGGCCCTGAGACCCTCTGCCGCAAGGTCAGGCCGCACGGCTCAGGGGGGGCGGGGGGGACCTGCCCACAGCGGCTCCCGTGCTCCCCCCACAGGGCAACGGGCACGAACGGGACTTCATGGGCGACCAGCGCGTGTACATCATGGACGTCTACAACCGGCACATCTACCCTGGGGACCGCTTTGCCAAGCGTGAGCTGCCCGCCCTCCCTCCGTCCCGAGCTCCGCTTGCTTGGAGGGGCTCTCTCTCCTGAGCGTGTCCCGTGCTCTGGGCGCTGCAGGGTGGGAACCGCCCATTGTGCAGACGGGGAGACTGAGCCCTAAAGGAGCCATGGACCACCCCAGACTGCATCACCTGTCTGATAGGACACGTGGTCCTCGCAGTAGGGGGGCCGTCGGAAGGGAGAACAGACTCCTGGGCAGGAGGACACGGAGTGAGCACCAGCGAGTGGGGGAGGGACACACACGGGGCCCAGACACCTTGGCGGCGGCTGGAGTACAGTGGCTGGTGAGATGGACACAGGCAGGGTCACCTTACCAGTCCACAGGCAGAGGCTGGGATGAGCTAGGAACCCTCAGGCAGCTGCCCACTCGTGGGTGGGACACTGTGCAGTGGCCGCCGGCCGCTGTGGGCACGGCCAGTGTCTGAGCTGGACCTCGAATGTGCCGCATCTGGACACGTGTGCAGCTCGGTGCCCAGGTGGGCGGGTACACGGAGGCAGGGCGCTCAGACGTGGTCTCTGATGCCCCAGGGCAGAGGGTGCTGTCTGCAGTTCCCTCTCCTCTGGGGCCCCGCTGGGTGCTCTGAGCTTGTTCTGGGTGGAACGAGAGGTGAGCGGTGCTGGGTCAACAGGCAGTTCTCCGGCCTGTGCACTGGGCCCACGCAGCGTGCCCTCGCGAGCCTGCCGCGCCCCGGCACAGGGCTCGTCCCCGCCCCCGCACACGGCTCGTCCCCGCCCCCGCACACGGCTCGTCCCCGCCCCCGCACACGGCTGGCGTTCCTGTGCCCCCCAGAGGCCATCAGGCGGAAGGTGGAGCTGGAGTGGGGCACAGAGGATGACGAGTACCTGGGCAAGGTGGAGAGGAACCTCGAGAGGGCTCTCCAGGAGCACCCGCCCGACGTGATGGTCTACAACGCCGGCACCGACATCCTCGAGGGTGACCGCCTCGGGGGCCTGTCCGTCAGTCCACAGGTAGGTCCTGGCCCCAGGCTGCTCCGCAGACGCTGCAGCAGCAGGACAGCGGGCCACCTTGGTGCCCCTGTGCAGGGCGGAGCAGCGGCTGAGCGGCAGGCCCGCAGCAGCCCTCTGGACGCCAGGCCGAGCCTGCTGACTGGCCTCCCCGCCCCCCGCAGGGCATCGTGAAGCGGGACGAGCTGGTGTTCCGAGTGGCCCGCGGCCGCCGGGTGCCCATCCTCATGGTGACCTCGGGCGGGTACCAGAAGCGCACGGCCCGCATTATTGCCGACTCCATCCTGAACCTGTTTGACCTGGGGCTCATCGGGCCTAAGCCCCCCAGCACCTCAGCACAGGACTCAGACACGTGTCTGCTGTCCCAGGAGGTACCCTGACCGCAGTGCCCCCGCCCCCCAGCGCTTCTCCTTTTCTAACCACACGGGGTGCTGGGGGCCTGGGGCTCGTCTGCCCGGCCTGCTCTAGGGGCCTGGCAGGCAGCCCCTCCGCTCGCCCCCCTGGGTGTTGGAGGGTCTCCAGGCCACTCGGGTGGGCAGAAGGCATCTCCGGGAAGCCAGCATGCGGGTCAGTGGCAGGTCTGGCCAGGCCCTGGGGGAGCAGGCGGTTCGCCCAAGGAGAGAGGCCGGCAGGTGCGGCTCTGGAGCTGCAGGGAGGCCCCAGGGGTCAGGGTGCTCCGGTCTAACAACCAGCCAGGAGGCTCTGTCTCCTCGATGGTTGGCCCCCCTTCTCTGAGGTTCTGTGACCTGAGGAGCTGGGCAGCCTCGAGGGGGCGCTGAGAGCTGGGGTGGAGCCTTGGCCCTGGTGTGAGCAGTGGCAGGGGGGCCCGGGTGTTCCCACCTGGCATTCCCCAGTAACGGCTGGGCCCGTGGAACCCCCAGTCCCTGTGTCCGCCCGTCTCACCTGCGGGGAGAAGGGCCCTTTGGGGAAGAGGGCTTGGCTCAGGGCCTCAGTGCTGGAGGCTAATCGGCCGCTGACCCTGTGGTGGGGGCAGACGAAGGTGAGCAGGTGGGCAGCCTTGGGCTGACAGACGGGGCAGGTGGCCAAGCCGGCCCTGCAGGAACTGAGGCCCCGGGCGGGAGCCCTGGGAGGCCAGGCTAGGGCTTCAGGAGGGAGCTGTGAGGGAGGGGGCTGGGCAGCGCCCGGGCAGCCTCACCCAAAGTCCCTGGGGCCCTGGTCACACTGTGTCCGGTCCCGAGCGGGCCCTGACCTGCCCTCAGCTCTACTCTGAAGGGGACACGAAGGCCCCCAGAAAGCAGGGCTGAAGGAGAACCCACTGCTCCATGGCCTGGTGTTCTCAGGGGACAGACAAGGGGCTGGAGGGGTCCCTGGGTCCCTGGGCCACCTACCAGATGCGCGTTCATTACCATCGGGGTGCTCCCGCCTCCCCCTTCCCCTCCTGCTCCCTCCCACCCCCTCTGACTGAGCGGGCTGGGGCGGGGTAAAAGCTCCAAGACCGTGAACGGAGAATGCTGACCTGGACAAGACCTGAGGCACTAACCACGCACTGAGCCCCGCCCGCCTTCGTGGTCCGTCTGCCCCGAGGTCACTGCCTTCACCCCGCGCGGCTGGTGGCACCTGGGTGAGGCCGGGCGGCACTGCTGAGCTGTCTGTGCAGAGCCGCAGGCTGGTCCCTGTGTCCTCGATGTGGAGTAAAGGGAATGGACGGGCGCGCACCCTGAGGCTTCGTGGGAGCTGTCCGGGGAAGGCAGCATCACTGTGTCCTCCGCGTCCCACGAAGGGGGTCACTCCCGCCCCGTAGACGAGACAGCTGGCCCAGCCGGCAGTGCCGCCGACAGCACGCCTGCCGGTGCGGAGCCAGGCCGGGACCCAGACCCGGTGCGTCCCGCGTGCGCGTCCACGCCTCGGGCTGGGCGGGGGCGGAGCCGGGTGGACACTGCTGTCCAAGCAGGAGGGCCGGACGCTGGGGGTGTGGGATGGGAAGGCAGGCCGGGCCTGTGAGGGGCCGGGCAGCACATGTGGGGGTCTCCTAGTCTGGGCTCCGGTCGGAGACCCTGGGGATGCGGGGGTGGGGGTGGGGGTAGGGGTGGAGGAGACCAGGCAGGGTCCCCAGGCCGCCCCAGGGTCAGCGGCACAGCCAGCGCGGGGCGCGGGGCGGACCCTCGGGGGTCAGTGCCAGGGGCAGGACCTCAGATGAGGTTCGGGCGCGGGCAGGCTCCACGGTGGCCCTCTGCCCGCTGCCGGGAGAGGCAGGCTGACAGACCGGGCCTGTCCCAGGCTGGGGGGGAGCCTGCGGACCTCAGGCACGGGGTGAGAACGGAGTCTCTGTCTTACAGATGCGGACACTGCGGCGGGACAGGGGGCGGCCCAGTCGGGGCCCGCAGCAGGTGAGGGACAGAGCAGGACTCCTGGCAAGGCCTCGGCCCGCCGCCCCCTCGCCTGACGGATGCTGAGGATGCTCGCCTGCGGGCCGGACGCACAGCAGGGCACGTGGGCACTCGGAGGGGGCCTTGCTGCTGTTCTGCCCCTGGGGGCCTAGCGAGGCTGATGACTTCCCGCCCCAAGGAAGCCTCTAGGACGGGCAGCTGCGTGGACGGGCCTGTTCCTCCCACCTGTGCGCTTGGCTGTTTGCAAATTATACCCCAGGTTGTAAAAGCCCAGGGGGCTGCGGACTTTGTGAGGAGCTGAGGGGCCAGCTAGCAGCCCTGGGGTTCGAGGGCAGACACATTGGGGGTCGGGGGGCAGACACACTGGGGGTTCAGGGCAGACACACTGGGGGGGACCGGGGCAGACACACTGGGGGTTCGGGGCAGACACACTGGGGGGGGGCCTGGGGCAGACACACTGGGGGTGGGTCCGGGCAGACACTGGGGGTTTGGGGCAGACACACTGGGGGGGGGGCAGACACACTGGGGGGGTCTGGGGCAGACACACTGGGGGTTTGGGGGCAGATATGCTGGGGAGGTTGGGGGTGGACACATTGGGGGGGTCAGGGCAGACAGCTGGGGGAACACTGTAGGGGGGCAGACACTTTGGGGAGGGTGGGGGCAGATACACTGGGGAGGGTGGGGGCAGACACATTGGGGGGTCGGAGCGCAGACAGCTGGGGGAGCACTGTGGGGGGCCAGCTCTGATGCCTGGTGGGTGTGGGGTTTCTGCCAGGGGCCCCTGCCAGAGTGTGAACATTTGATGTGGGAGGCGGAGCCCCCTGTGTGGAGGGGCGAAGGCAGACCTGGGCGCCCAAGCCCACCACACAGAGCCCTGCTCGGCCAGGGCCTGGGCAGGGGCCGTGGGCAATGCCCTGCGAGCTGCCTCCGCGGCCATCCTGGGGAGCCAACATCGAGTCTGCAGGGCTGCCGCAGGGGTGGGCAACACTGGTGGCAGCTCAGAGCCGGTGCCAAGTGGGCAGCACGTGAAAGCAGCCCCTTCCCATGGCCCCTAGTGCACGCCTGGCTGGTGGCCGGCTGGGGCTGGGGAAGGGGTTTTTGCCCCCAGAGTTACAGCTCTGCTCCTCACCTGGGACCTTTGGGGGGTTTCAGGTAAACCTTGGGAACAGCAGGCCCTCCCTGGCCTTCGCCCCCGGAGACCACACTGAGGCCCGGCTGCCAGGGCCCTGTGGGCAGAGCCAAGAATAAAGGCCCGCAGCTGCCGCCTGGGGGGTGAGCAGGCAGCTGCCTGTAGGACCCCTCCCCGTGGGCCAGCGGACTCGGCAGCGGAGAGACCGGGACACCGCCTGGCTCCTCTGCAGAGGCTCGGTCAGGGCCAGGCGCTCGGCCAGCACTGGCCGGACACCCTGTTCCCGGCTAGGCCCGCCCTGGGAGCAGCACCATCCGGATGTTTGTGAGGCGGGGGGGTGCGGTGACACGCGCACAGCCCTGCCCGCCGCCCCTGTAGCTGGGTGGCTGGACTTGTCTGTGCCTTAGTTTGCCTGTCTGTGAAATGGGGATGGCCACCCGGCTCGCAGGCTCTCGCAGTCCCCGTCCTCAGCCTTCACGGAAGAGGAGACAGGCTCAGGGAGGGACTGACCCGAGATCACCCCTGGCCGCAGAAAGGCCGGGGACCAGGTCTGTCCGACTCAGAACGCGTCCTCTGCCTTCTGGGGAAGGTGGGTCCTGCAGACGCTCATGTCTCCCACCTGGGCCTTCCAGCCCCCCGCCCCCCACACCTGCCCAGCACCCTGGGAGAGGCCGGCGTTGGCGCCGGTGTCTGGAGGAGATGGGCCCAGAGGGAAGGCAGCCTCTCTGTCCTATGTCCCCCGCGGCGGTGGCCGGCGTGGAGGTGGCGGCATGGCCAGGCGGAGGCAGGGGGCGCTGTGGGTGGGTGAGTGGTTGCCTGCTCAGCTGGGCCTGCCCTTGAAGTCTCTGCAGCGGGAAGGCACACTGGGCGGCCGACTTGCAGCTTGAATTTTGCAAGTACACAGTGACTTTGAAAATGAAGACAGCGGCGCCGAGAAGCACCGTGCGGACTGGCCCCCGAGCAGTCAGCTGAGGGCTTGTCCCCTGGCACACGGAGGTCCAGCCTCCTGGCACGGCAGCTGGAGGGGGCTTAGGGGTGGAGGAAGGGTGTCCTCCCAGGGCCTGCTGGGGCCCGGCTGGGCTGCTGGCCCCCACTGCCCGCTTGGAGGTGGGAAGTGAGACCCAGGGAGGCTGTGGAGGGGACTCACCCCTGGCAGCCTTCAGCCTGAGGTCGTGCAAAGGGAAGGGCCGCAGCCGCACAGGGCCCTGGCCTCCCAGAGAGGGGCCGGGGAGCCCTCCCCACCCGCAGGCACCCACCTTCACGCTCCCACCTGCCCTCACTCAGCAGCCTCCTGGACGGGGACCTGGAGCTTCGTCCTCGGACTGGGGGACCTGGAGCCTCGTCCTCGGGCTGGGAGATGGGGAGGTCCTGGAGCCTGGTCCTCAGACTAGGAGACAGGGGGCACCTGGAGCCTCATCCTCAGATGGGGGGACCTGGGGCCTCGTCCTCAGACTGGGGGACCTGGGGGGACCTGGAGCCTGGTCCTCAGACTGGGGAACGGAAACACAGCCCAGAGAGCCAGGGCCACACCAGGCGGAGGGCAGAGCCTCTTTTGCACCCCCGTCCTGTTGGGGTGAAGGCAGGCTCACAAACCAGGAGGACCCCTGATGTCTGCTGGGGGGTCTCTGGACCCAGACTTTGGAGTTGGCCAGTCAGGGCTCAAACTTGCCTTTGTCACTGGCCTGAGAAGTGGCCCTGGGTGGGCAGCTCCCCTCTGTGCAGAGGACAGTGAGTCGGTGGGAGGAGCTGCCATGTGGTCCGAGTCCCTGAGGACAGAGCCAGGGTCCGGAAGGTGACTGGGGGATGCTCTGTTCCGTCCTGTTCACAGGGCAGCAGACACCGGGGCTGGGACCCCAGGGAGGCCAGGCACACCCTGGTTAGAGCTTAGGTTTCCCGTGAGGAATGCCTGCTCGGGGCCTCCGTCCCCCCCCCCCCCCCATGCCCTGGCCAGGCACGTGCTGTGTGTGGCGGGAAGGAGCCGGCCAGGCTCCTCGGGCAGCTGGCACAGGGCTTCCGAGCTCAGGCCGTCCTTGCACCCAGGGAATGGCTGCGTCCTCACATGGTGCCCCTGGGTGTCCCCCGCCCCCGGAGGGCTTGCGCTCGGGGCAGTCTGGCTGGGCAGCTTCTGGGACTTCCCACCCTTTCCACTCTGAGTGTGAGTCTCATGCGCCTGACCTTGGGACCCTGTGGTAGGTGTCACCAGTGCGGGTTCCCCGGGGCAGGGGGCGTGGCCAGGGGCCCGGCCAGAGGCCCACCCCCTCCAGGACCCTGGGCCAGTGTGTGTAGTCCACCGGTCGTCTCGGTAACCAGTACCCAGGCGGCCAAAGTTGTGTGTGGCCAGGAGGCTATTTGGTCTAACGCTGTAAAAGGGCTTTGGAAATTCCCAGCGTCCATCTGGTCCTCGTTACGCCGCAGTGTTGCTCGCAGACAGCGGAGCGTTTTTACTCCTTCCAGAGCTCAGGAATGTGCCCGAGACGCGGCCCTGCAGACATCCACGTGGTTCCAAGTTCCCCGTCACACGCCAGGGCCGTCATCCTTTTGTTTATTTAAAAATTTTTTTCCTTTATTGATTTTAGAGAGAGAGGAAGGGAGAGGGAGAGAGAGAAACATCGATGAGAGAGAACATGGATTGGCCGCCTCCTGCACGCCCCCCACTGGGGATCAGGCCCACAACCTGGGCATGTGCCCTAACCGGGAACTGAACCGGCAACCTCAACCACAGCCACACCGGCCGGGCGGAACCACTGTCTGTTTAAAGGCCACTGCTCCTTCCCCTGCTCCAGACGAACCCCAGGACTCCTGAGGGTGCCAGGGGAGGGCTGAGCTTCGGAGCTTGGTCTGCCTGGCTTGCAAGGTGCCCTGACCTGTGTGCGCCTCCTGTGCTGAGACCGGAGCTCCCGAGACGTGAACACAAGCTTGGCTCACAGCAGGCGCCTGGGAAATGCAGGTTCCCCAGTTAGCGCCATGTGTTTGCGGGAACCCCTTACCCGTCCGCGTGCCGACGGCCCCTGAACTGGGTCCAAAACTCGAAGGGATGTTGCTGATCCCACAGTCACTCAGGAACCAGAAAGCGAAACACACACACAGGCCCCGCCTCTGAAACAGCTCTGTGGAGTCTGGCCAGGCCTCTGCACCTGCTTCCCTGAGGTCCTGGTCCGCCGGCCCCGCCCAGCCCCCCTGACTGCTCACACAGGCCTGCGCCCCTGGCTCTTGGCCACTGACCTGGACAGTTGTTCTGGGCGGCAGGCACCCTGCTCTCTCCTTGAGGAGCTCCTCCGCCTCAATCCCGGGCGGTAACGGCCCCAGCCCGGCCCGGCCCCGACTTGCCAG